GAATACTAGTGGATTCGTTCAAACTGGGCTAGGCCCCGTGGTTTTTCCCCCTTTTACAATGGTTTTCCACGTAAAAATCTTGGTGTCTCATAAATGCTAGACCCTTTCTCTTATTTGATTGCGTGCCGGATTTTCGTACAACGCTAAGACGATAAACTTTATATTTCTCTACCGCTGCGAATACTCCTGGACGCAACAAACATATATGTTAAGTAACCAATAAATAATTTATACTTTGTGATTTCCGAGCAACTGATCACTAAATTCTCTAATATTTAATAATTGCATTCTTATCCATTAATCTATATTCAAATGATTTATAATATTAAGATAATAATTATATCACAACAAACAAAATAAAGAGTATTTTAATAATGAGCCAATGAGTAAAATCGAACAGAAAGAATGTGATGGCAGACATTGATCGCTTTCTCTTTTGTTTTTTTAAATATTTGTAACTTGAAAACATGAATTGACTTCTGCGTTTTAAAATAATATGATTCCAATTAAAAATTTAGTAGTATTTCTAAATTCCAAAATAATATAATTGCAAATGAAAAAGAAATAATTTTTTTTTATTGAGTTATTGGCTTCCCATAGCTTATTATATAATTTTTAAAATGAAGTGAAATTTATGAGCATCAAGACTGCTACAATCTGAAAGCATGAGTCATGCCGAATTCTAGAAGCTTTTGGATATTTCCACCTTTCAATTATTCAAAACACCTAATTTACTATTAGCGTGAAGAATTTTGAGTGCTTATTGTTTTGAAGAAGTCTAAGAGTTATCTTAGGGATATGAAGAGTCGTAAGATTGAATTTATAATGCTATTAATCATTAAAATAATTCAATCATCCCTTCTTTCAAGAGTGCCTTTAGGTCATACCATTTTCACCTATAATAAAGGATTAATCTAATCATTTTTTAATGGACTCAATGAATTTCTGTCATCATTTCAACTCGGGGGTGTAAATGAGTTGAGTCGAGCTCAAGTCACTCCTTACTTGAGCTTTAGCTTGATTACTTAATTGAAGTTTAAGCTCAAGCTCAAGCTCAAGCTTTATTCTACGAGTTCGAGCGGCTCATGAGCGGTCTTGTTTATTATGATGATTATGATTTAAACAATTATTAATAAAATCGTAAAAATAATGAGAAATTATAAGAAAAATAATAAAAAAATATTTAATATAAGAACTTGTGATATAGTTTTTAAATACTTTGTATTTAAAATTTGAATTCTAATATATTCTAAATATATTTTATATTAGTATTTCTTAAAAGACCTGGATCACGAGCTTACTAGTAAAGTCGGGACTAGCTCAAGTTTAGGCTCGTTAATTTATCGAGCTCGTACGACTCATTTATCAAGCAGAGCCTGACCGGCTCACTAGTCCACTTTACTCACTTTCACTCCTAATTTCAACAATCATCTCTAAGTCATTCCACCTCCATCTATAGAAGGAGGAACTCCTAATTGATATAATTACCTTTACAAACTTCAAGCATGTGCTACTTTGTCTATCACCTTCAAGCCTTGCATATCCGATGTGCGTGTGAGTTTGCATTTAATTCACTCAAAAAAAAAAAAAAAAAAAAAAAAATAGTATTGGCATATATATTTCTACAAGGATGACTGACTCAAAAACCCTCACTAACCTCCATAACGTTCATATTCGTCCCTCTCTTCAAGTCAAGCTTTCTTAACCTCTTGGGGATTTTTTTTTTTAGTTTAACCTCTTGGGAAAAATTGATATTGATATGTTATCAAAAAAAATTTTGATCGGGCATGAGTTTTGATGCAAATATGAATTGGAAACATCCATAATTTATATGGAACCATCCGAATTTCAATTTCACTAAACTTATAGTCAAAATGAATGTCTTGAAGAGGCAAACCCAACGACAACAAAATCGGTCCAATTTGAACCCAAATGAGTCCAAATTGAGGGTCCAACGCCTATTTGGAAACTTCAGATTATTTATTGAATAACCAAATGATATTCAAATGTGTCTTGCTTATATTCGAATCAAGCAACTCGATAAGACAAATCCAAAGAGCCCAATATCATCAAATTTTGACATCATTAAGACACTCAAATTCTTGATAAATAATCACTGGTCAAGGGAGCTGATATCGGCTGTCCATTTGAAACACTCCCAACATGTTCTTGATCTTCTCCTTATTTATTGGCCATACAATTCTTAGAAAACTATAAATAGACCCATCACTCTTCACTGAAATGGAGGAGAAAGTAAGAGAAAAAAGAAAAGAAATCTATGAGCTCTTTTGCTACCATACTCTTGCTCGACCACCTCCTAAACATTGACCGCCGTCGTACTTTCGCAAGACCCTCTCTCGACCACTGACCTTTTTTGGACTTCGTCCTAGCCACTGATCATCTCTCGACTATTGTACATTTGACCATCGTCACTTGGCTAAGGTCCACTCCAACCACCATCACCCGCTGACAACGATCCACTCTGTCTACCATCGCACGCTAACTACGGTCCAGCCCAACCACCTTCGAACACTGATTACGATCTGCTATGACCACCATTTCCCTTTGACTATGATCTTTCTGACCACCGTTGCCCGCCGACTACAGTCCATTCTGAATATCGTTGCCCACTGATTACGCTCCTTCTGACCACTATCATTCGTCGACTATGATCCCTCCTACTACTATCGCCCACCAAATACGACCCACTCTGACCACTGTAGGTCGACGACTACTATCCACTCGGACCACCGTCGCATGCCGACTATGGTCCACTCTTACCAGCGTCGCCCATCGTCGATCCACTCTGACTATTTTTGCCCTTAAATTATGGAATTTTTTACCACTGTCACCCGCTGACTATGGTCAACTCCTACCATTGTCGCTCGCCGAATATGATCCATTCTGACTATCGTTGTCCTCCGAATACGGTCCATTCTGACTACTGTCGTCCACCGACTACGGTCCTTCCGACTACCATCTCCTGCCGACTACGATTCCTCCAACCACCGTCGCCCGCCAACTACTGTCTATCCTGAACACTATTGCCCATCGATTACGAGCTTTTTGACCTCTATCACCCAAATACAGACCTATTAACTAATTAGTCATGTCAACACTCTTTTAGAATAACTATCATATAATGAGCTCTATACAGTGTGTATTTGCTATATAAAGCCTTCCTCCGAGGATATGGCTCATTTGTACTCAACCATCAATACGAGTAGATTCATTCAAATTGGGTCAGCCTTGTATTTTTTTTTTCAATTTTTAGGATTTTTCATGTAAAAATATTGGTGTCTCTTATGAACGCTACACTCCTACTCTTTATTTGTATGTTGAATATTTGTGCAAAGCTAATATGCTAAACTATATATCTTTCTACCACAATGAATTTTCAGAACGCAACAGATTTAATCCCCTTCAAAAGTCATGAGATTTTTCTCGCATCACCCTCTTATCAACTTTCTTGCATCACCCTCATATAGAATATAGATGCCTTCAACAATTAGATTTTCTCCACTTTGTATTAAATAATTCTTCAAATTTGGAGATGAGTGATGCATTGTAACAAATATGAACTAATAGTAAAGTTTATTTAAGTGGGCTAAATCTTAATTTTTTTTTATTTTTTTCTATAAAACTTTTCGTCCCACCATGCCTACTTCTCCAATTTTATGTGAAATCTATTTGAACTAATGATAATCAAAATATTTCTCTCTCTATCAGCTCCATTTCTAGAACACATGACATTTAACATCAAAATTTTATGATATTCAAATTTAAATTAAAAATACAGATAATATGATACTTATTTATTAATTATAGTAACTATGATATTAAAATTATTACTATATCACATCATAGTTAGCTAATTAAATGAATTTAAAATTATAATCAAATCATGTGGCCACTAAAGCATGCCCCAAATATCTTTGATGGATTCTTGAATATTAATTTAGTAGCATATATATAAAGAAGAAGACTATTATTCCATTACTTTATAAAAAAAAAAAAGAGAAATAAAATAAATTTGCCTTTAAAAAAGAGTGCATGAAAGGGACATTTC